GTGACTTCAAAATATATATGCATTAAATATACATGGATGCAATATATGCACATTAAATATACATATAAGCAATAGACAGAGATGCATTAAATATATATATATTTATTTTTGCTTATGGGCTCTTTCTCAGGCTTGGCTGGAACCCACCGAGCTGCTGGGTGGTGTTTGGCACCACTTTGGTGGCTGCAGAGTGCATTTGGATATTGAGCTGCACATGGACAGTGGGGTGGGCAGAGGAGCTGGGGCTCACTGCGAGCAGGGAAGCAGTCCTAGGCTTTACTTCTCCTCCCCTCCATCATTTTTCACACTCTCACAGGGATGCTCCCTGCCACGGATGCTGATCAAACCAATACTCCCCAATTTTTAGCTCCTTCTGCAATCCCTTCTTCTCGTGATGTGCTGTTTGCCCACTCTGGTGGCACCTGTTACATCCTGCTGACTCCAGTGGTTTTTTCCTGAATCTCAGTGGCATTGGGATGGAATTCCAACTGAAGCCCATTTAGTCTAARAGCATATCTSCTCTGGACATGCAGCCTAATTGATYGTGCTTCWGARRCATTTGTCCTGCCCTCCTTAATGAAAGCTTAATGCATGATCCCGTTGTTTGTAAAGAGCTTTTTGTTTTGCTCCTGCAGCAGAAGGAGGGGTAACAGCCTGTGAGGCTGTTCTAGCTGGGTATTTTGCTCTCAAATCAGGCTTTTATTTTTTTCCTTTCCCCCACAACTTGAACAAGATTCCTGTTAAACTCCATTGTGGCCTTTGCTGAGTAATGCTTTGCTGCAGGCTTTTTGCTTTTGTTTTCAGCTGAATTTTCAGGATCTGTAGGTGAAAGGACTCCAGTCTGGCTTATGGAGGGTTTGGTAATTTCCTGCTCTGTGTTTTCCAAGAATCCTTTTATCTGGCRTGTGTTAAAGTGTGCTGTACCCCTTAACAAGGTTCTGTAATACTGTTGAAGTGGGRAACAGGCATCTCTCGCTTGGTTGATGTCATTTGTTTGCAGTATTGTGGCAAATGCCCTGATTTGCAAAACAGAGGGATCCTCTCTTTCTTGCACTGTAAAGGACCTAGAAAAGCTGAGTAAGATGTGCAACAGGCAAGACCAGACAATTTGAAGCGCTTCTTTGGTACTGCAATCCAAGATCTCTTCAGCAGTAACACAAATTAAATACTGCTTGACTGCAGCGACGCTGTGCTCTGTCGCTGGAGCCTCAATTGGCTTAAGAGGGGAAAAAAATAAAAAAAAAATCTCACTGCCGGGAAATTAAATGCAGGGGAAAAAAAAATCCACTTTGTGAGCTGCCCTTMCATCTTTTATTATGATTTCTGTGTAATTCACTCAAAGCCAAGCAGCTGCTGTCTGTAGGGATTCAGACTGTGCTGGGAGGGGCTGCAAAGCTTGAAATGCAGTATTAATATATTTTTTTCTGTTTGCTTTGGGTGGTGTTTTGCATGCCACTTTTGTTCACTCTGAGTTGTGGAAGGTTTTTATTCTTTTTGTCTTTTCCTCCTTCCTTACAGCTCACCTTTTGTTGTATTGTTTGCTCAGGGAGGGWRCGCAGTAAAATTAGCTGTRATGCCCACAGGGCTGTTGTCCTGGTGTCAGCCAAGGTAATATTGTGGAGTTTATGATTTCCATGGGCTGCTTTCTGTCTGTGCAGGTGAATGGATGGAAGTGGGACTTTCCACTTGATGATAATTATTATTGTAGTGAGTGCAGGGTGGGAAACAGGGACAGAGGGAAACCCAGGGTGAAGGAGCTTGTGCTGATAACTGAGAGTGGAACGCCCTGCTGGTGCCTGGATGGGGATGGGATCCATGGGATGGGCTGGAGTCCATGGGATGGGGTGGGATATGATGGGATGGGGTCCATGGGCTGGGATCTGTGGGATGGGATGGGATCCGTGGGATGGGCTGGGGTCCATGGGGTGGGCTGGGATATGATGGGATGGGGTCCATGGCATGGGGTCCATGGGTTGGGATGGGATCCGTGGGTTGGGATGGGATCCATGGGATGGGATCCGTGTGATGGGGGGTGGTCCATGTGATGGGATCGGTGGGGTGAGATGGGATAAGATGGAGGTGGCTGAGTGATTTTGGGGGTGCTGTCCTGCTCTCAGGTGCAGCCTGGGCTCACCTCTGCAGCTGATATTGCTGGGGTGCACCCCAGAGAAGCCCCCTGAGCCCCCAGCCTGACACTCCAGGGCAGATGAGGGCTCAGCTCCGTGTCCCTGGGGCTGAACAGCTCTTGGGGGTGCTGTTTTGGGGCAGTGCTCAGTGTGGGGCTCTCTCTGTGTCCCTGGGGCTGAGCAGCTCTCGGGGCTGCTGTTTTGGGGCAGTGCTCAGTGTGGGGCTCTCTTTGCCTTCCCCAGCCCAGCAGAGCACGAGCCAAAGGATTTCCTGCAGATAAACAGTTCTRGGCCACATGGTGAGGATTTCTCTCCTGACTGGGTGGATTTCACTGATCCAGTATCCTTGTGTGACTGTGCCTGCAAGCCCCAAGGATAAATCTGCTGGTCACTGTAGTACCCAAATAGAGGTGAAAACATTCCCAGTGCGGTCTGGGTCATGTGGAGCTGATTTTGGCAGTGGAGCAAGGGGTGAAGCAGGTGATTTCTACCTYTTGTCCCTTCTATTTCCTGCTGCTTTTGTGGAAACATTTGTCTGTAATACAGCAAAGGGCAGAGATAAAAGCTGTGGTTTTCTATGGGTTTGGAGTTGAAAAACTCAATCTGAGCCATGTGAGGAGCATGGAGAGGTGCTGGGGTACCCAWTGTGGGGATTGAGGGGAGTCCCTGCAGGCTGGAGTTTCTCTCCYATCCCTCCATGGCTGTTGTGTGGCACCCAGGACAGCTTCCCTCGATCAGGGGATGTGTCTGGGCATTTCTGGGTGCCAGCCCTTGGCTCTGGGTGCTGTGGTGAGCTGCACCTTGGCAGGGCATTCTGCAGCCTCTGCCCCTGCATGGGCACTGCCAGGCAGGCTGGATGCCCAGGGGAAAGGGAAGAAAGTGCCCTGGGAAATGGGCTGCTCGCCAGTCAGCTGGCAGCCTGGCTCCGAAATGCTGGGAAAACTTGAAAAGGGGCAAAATGTCTGTAGGTGGCAGAGGTTAGAGTAACGTCTGGCAGAGCTGGGATGCATAAAGTAGCATTTAGGGTTTTTTTGTTTCCATAACTGAAGAGTTCAGGCTTTCAGAGGACCAGAAAACAACGGGAAAACCAACAAATTATAGCTCTGCTGGGTGATGCATGCGCTGACAATTGCAAACTGGGAGATTTTTTTCCATTTTGCTCTTATTTTAATTTTCACCAGGCCAAATCACTGCTCTGGTGAGCTTGCTGCCCTTCTAAAATAGCTGCTGATGAACAGACATATGTGCACAGCTTGAGCCAGGGAAAGGAGGGAGGAAGAGTTTTGAAGACAGGAAGACCTCCCTGTATTTGCTTTGTGACCTCTGCAAAACATTTGGCTCTTATTCAAAGTCYTTTTTCTGTTCTCAAGCCTGAAGTGTTCCTACGAGCCTGAATTTTATATGCTGGCAGCATGCTGGTCAAACTTTTCTTTTGGACTGCCAAAAATAAAGATCTGCTGCCTGTATTTCAAGATGAGCAATGGTTTCATAACCCTGGCTGCCAACAGGGCAGGGAGAAAAATAATTGAGATACTGAAAACTTCMGAAGGTCGGTGCTTGCGTTTGAACRGGAGCAACAGAATTTCCACAAAAAGCAGCACTGAGGTAGAGCTGTCCCAGTTGATACAGTCTGGGTTTGCCTTTCTGCATCACTCATGAGCCTGATTTTGGACACACTGCTGCTGAACAGGAGCTGTGGTTGCAGATTTTGGGGCACATTTGCTGGGAAGATGCAGTAGTGCATGGTTTGAGGGTAGAGTGCCTCCARAAGGAAAAACAAAATCTGTGCCAGAAAAGGTCTCTTCATCTGTCACCCCTGTCCATGGCACTCCCCAGCCAAGGATAGGGCTGGGCCCTCCTTTAAATTTATTACCAAGGAAAAACTCTTGTATTTCCTCTCTCCACCCTTATTMAATCTTTCAAGGAGCCTTTTCCCCTGTTCTCCCTGCCCGCTTGTGTCTGTGTTGGCCAAGTCAGCTTTTCCTGGAAACGCAGCGTGTTTGGGCTTTGCTGCTCTGAGCCCGCTGTCCTTGGTG